ATATGTATACATATATAGTATATCGTATATACGTATATATATATATAGTATATCGTATATATATATATAAATATATATATTTCTTTTTTTTTCTGTCAAGATGGGGTGCTGAGTGTACATTAATGGGAAATAAAATGAACTTTTTTGATTTTAGCAAATGGCTGCAATGAAACAAAGAGTGAAAAATGTAAAGGGGTCTGAATACTTTCCGTACCCACTGTGTGTATATGTGTGTATGTGTGTATACGTGTGTATACGTGTATGTAGTATATATGTATGTAGTATATATGTATGTGTATATATGTATACATATATAGGCCCCAGACCATGTTACCAACTGTTAGTAGTTATTAGTTGTTTATATATATGTTATTACATATTTGTGAATAATAAAACAAATTTCTGCCGTTAAAAAACAGATGAATTGAAAAAAAGTCTGCGATCTTAAAGCAGCAACAAACGAGGTTTGTGTTTTTGTTACTTTTTGTCATATCATGTTCGGATGACCAAGGATATTTTAATTACTAGCTTCAAGAAAAAAAACAACGATATACAAAATCCTTCCTGCTGGAGTTCTGTGCTACGTGGGTCATTTGTAGGACTGTAATAGTAAACGATATGAACAATATGAACACAAACAGTTCGTTAAACTCCTCTTCACGTCTCTCAGGCTGAAGACGGCTCGTGACGCGACGTCTCGCAGCGGCTTCTCTCTGGCTCTAGGGGCGCTGCACCGCTACACCGGAGGAATCGGCTCACCTCAACACCTGTCCACCTGTCTGGGAGTCCTGTTCACTCTGAGCCAGGACAGCACCTCACCTGAGGTCCAGGTACACACGCACACACATACACACACGCAGACTCTCAGACACACAGTCGCAGGTGACTGTGGCTAAGTGGAGAGCAGGGCCGTCCTTCAATCACAGGTTCGGCGGTTCGATCCCCGGCTCCACTAGTCGCATCTCGATGTGTCCTTGAGCAAAACACTTAACCCCAAAATGCGTGCGTGTGCGTGTGCGTGTGCGTGTGCGCGTGTGTGTGTGTTGCAGACCTGGTCTCTCCACAGTCTGTCTCTGGTGGTCGACCTGTCTGGCGGTCTGTACCGCGCTCACGCCGAGCCGTCCTTCAACCTGGTGCTCCGGCTGCTGCTGTCGGCACCGCCCACCCACCCAGAGGTGCACCACAGCCTGGGACGCTGCCTGCACGCCCTCATCACCTGCCTGGGCCCCGACCTGCAAGGTACCGCCCACCTCACACCTGTGTCCATCACGTGAAGGTGTAACAGGTGTGAATGATGTGTTGTGTTCATCAGGTGAAGGTGTAACAGGTGTGGATGATGTGATGTGTTCATCAGGTGAAGGTGTGACAGGTGTGAATGATGTGTTGTGCCCATCAGGTGAAGGTGTAACAGGTGAATGATGTGTGCCCATCAGGTGAAGGTGTAACGGGTGAATGATGTGTGTCCATCAGGTGAAGGTGCAGCAGTATCCGGTCTGCGCTCCACCTGTCTGGTGGGATGTGAGGTGATGCAGGACTTTCCAGACTCTCTGGTTCAGGCCAGATCCATTTCCTGTCTGCAGCAGCTGCACATGTTCTCACCTCCACACGTCAACCTGGCCAGCCTAGTACCTGCACTCTGTGTAAGTACTCCTGACTACACCTGAACTACACATGAACTACACCTGAACTACACATGAACTACACCTGAACTACACATAAACTACACCTGAACCACTTGACTACACATAAACTACACATAAACTCCGCCTGAACTACACATATACTCCACCTCACTACACATAAACTACACCTGAACCACCTCACTACACAAACTACACCTGAACCACCTCACTACACCTGAACCACACATAAACTCCACCTGAACTACACCTGAACTACATCACAACACCTGAACCACTTGACTACACATAAACTACACCTGAACTACACCTGAAACACCTCACTACACCTGAACCACATAAACTCCACCTGAACTACACCTGAACTACCTCACTACACCTGAACGACACATAAACTACACCTGAACCACTTGACTACACCTGAACTACACATAAACTACACCTGAACTACTACACAGTAAGCTGTGAGTGTGTTTTGACCCTGTGTTGTGTCTTGCAGGAGATCTTGTTGGATTATTCCATGTTGGTAGGTTTTCTCTCAAAAGCCCTGAAGCTGCTGTTTGTCTCTCTTTTATTTTCAGCGTTGTTCTCCCTCAACACTCTGCTGTTTTTAACATCTTCCTTTGTTTGGAATCGTATTAACTCACTGTTGTTGGTTAACGTTTTTTCTGTTGCAGTTTACTTTCACATAGTTTGCTTTGCAGACTGACGGCTAACTCAATAACACCACCGTGTTGCTTCCTGCTGGCTGTTTTTGTGTCTCAGTGTTTCCTCCAGAAAAAAGTGAATTGAATGTGTTATTTATGATTAAGATTCATCCTGTTAATCTGATCCATGAATGTGAAATGATCTCTCAGCTCATCATCATGACATTACAACAACGTGACCACATTATTATTATTCTACACAGAATAATGTGCTGTTACTGCTTCGGTTTCTTGATAATGTACAGAATGTTTTGATAATCAATACATTGTTTTTTTATGCAGAAAGTTCTTCTACGTTGTGAGAATGTTTTTGTGTTTTTTTTTTAACTTGAACGTTACATTGAGTTTTGGGAACATTTGGGAATGCTCGTTATGTGAAGCCTTGAAGAGACAGTTCCACGAGTATCTGAGTTTAAATCCTGAATATAAAGCTGTTTCAGCTCCTCCCTCTGTTCCTGAGTGTAGTTTCTCAGTAATGTCTCCTCCAGAATATAAAGTAATAGTTCTAAAATCAATTTCTACAAACACTCTCAATGAAATGAAAAGGCTTTGATGAACTCAGACTTTAATGAATGTGAACTAACGCTTTAAAACACCAAAGTCACTCAATGACACCAACTAACTAACCGATGGAGGCAACGAGAGACCAGAAGCTCCTGAGTTCTGAGGTCAAATCACTGCTTTTATGAATGAAGTCTGGTGTGTTTGACGAGAACAGAAAGGTGAAAATATCCTAAAATATAACTGATGTAGAATCTTTGAGGTGTTTAAAATATATCCACAGTTCTTCATACACACTTCAATGTGAACAAAGTTTAGTTTGTTAGTCTGGAGGAAACACTGTGAAGCTGCATGTTTCCTCTGATGAGACCTGTTGATGGAGTTCTGCTGTTGACTCCTGTGTGTGTGTGTGTGTGTGTGTGTGTGTGTGTGTGTGTGTGTGTGTGTGTGTGTGTCTGTGTGTCTCTGTGTCTCTCTCTCTCAGGCTCACCTGTGTAGTTCCTACCTGTGTCTACGTGGGTCGGTGGTGTCGTGTCTGCGTCAGCTGGTCCAGCGTGAAGCTCTGGAGGTTTGTGAACACGCTGTGACTCTCGTCAAAGAGCTGCCCAGACGAGACAACACGCAGCTGGGTGAGACGGACGTTTTGTTTGAAGAAACAATACTGAACTTAATTACATAGATTTATATATACAGGTAAAGCAATAAAAACAACAGAGGAAACATATGAAATATAAAAATGCACAATATATACAATAAAATAGAATAATATTCAATGAACTAACTAAACAATAATGCAAAGATTTAACCAAACAAACAGTATAACGGTGTGATAGTTGTGATTCATTTGTCTAATGACCTTTTACATTTATTTCAACTCTTTCAAACCCAGAAATCACAACATTTCAAATAAGTTATTAACATTATCATATTATATTATATATAACAGTATTATATTATTATAGTAACACCTTCAAGAGCAGAATGTCACGAAGTGCCTCACAAAGGAAATAAGGTGACTAACATGAATACAGACCTAAAGAAAATCTAAATAAATCTAAATAAGAGCCGATCAAACATCACACAAAGGGAAGTCCGAACAGGTGAGCTGTTTTTTAAAAGCGTCCACTGATGTTAAAGGTACAGTGTGGAGGACCTGGCGCCATCTAGTGGTGAGGTTGCAGATTGCAACCAACTGAAACTTCTCTCTAGAGTCGGTGTTTGGTTTGTCCCTTCTGGGCTTCTGTAGAAACATGGCGGCCGGCTCCGTATGTGGATATAAACGGCTCATTCTAAGGTAACCAAAACAACGATTCTTATTATCACGAAAGAACATTATTATTATTATTATTATTATTATTATTATTATATTCCATTTCTACTACACGCTGGACCTTTAAATCTAGACAGAGAGACTTTCATTATTGTTTAATTCTGAAGTTATTAGACTTTATAAAGCATTACATCATATATTCTGGTTTTCCTCGTGTTTTACTCCTTCACGTTCGTCCTCACCCTCCTCTTCCTCCCTCTGCAGACGTCACCATAAAGGAGGTGGGTCTGGAAGGAGCCCTGTTCACTCTGTTGGACCGGGAGTCAGATCCTGGTCTGAGGAGGGACATCCAGGAGACTCTGGTCCACACGATGGCGTCCAGCGCCACCAGCGGCAAACTGGGACACTGGCTCAAACTCTGCAAGGACGTCCTGTCTGCGACCACCGGTGTGTTCAACACGTCATGTATACTAATTATCAGATCATCTGACTTCATGTCAGTTTAACTGACCTGGTGACGGTTTGTACGACTGACACGAGGTATTTGAATGTTTGTATGATTCATCTTATTGTTTCTGACATCACATTATTAAAACTAGAAGTCCAAATGAATTAACGAATTCAAAAGACAATATAATATCTAGAAACTGTTTAGTAGTTGAGGGTCTGAGGTCGATATAAAGTATTTTCTTCCAGAAACAATGTTTGATTTGAACTCATTAATGCGTAAATAGATTTTTTAAAATAGGTTCAAAAGTAAAAAAGGAGGTGAAAGTGTGACCTCCTTTTAATTTTGACAAACCTTTTGTCAATAATTTACATTTAAGGACTCCAAACCTCAAGTAGCAACTTGAAATGTCTTGTCCAGGTCAAAAACAGAAACAACAACAATAAATCTGAATTCCATCTGCGTACTTTTTCGAGAGCTTTTAACCACGTCTCATGGTCTTCATCAGCAGAAGGCACCTACTTAGTTGTGATCTTATGAAGTTTGGAGATTTTGGAAACTACGGGGACAATAGATGAGAGTGATGAAGACCCTGAGATGCTGTTTAAAGCTCCGGTAAAGGTAGTAAGTGGACCTTGAGTTTCTAAGCTCAGGAATCGACTCCCTTTCCTGACTTTTCTTCAGACTGTCGGACTCCGGTTGAGGCGAGGCAGGAGGACGAGGAGGCGGACCCCGCC